TTAAATTGTAAGATATTTTTGATTAAGATCTGTAGTTTAAGTGAATGATTCAATTTTGAATCTTTTGGGTCTGAGTTGTAAGTCTTCACCAAATTTTTAGTAGTCAATTGATTGGTAGTTATTAGATAAGAAAAGATGTAAGTAAGCAAGATTAAGACAGAGTTGAAGACAATTGTAGGCTGTGTATGAAGGAATAGTAACAGGTGAAGCAAAAATTTTGAGGTAATTAAGTTTGGTAAAGAGAATAGTTGTGAATTTAAGGATAAGATTTTTTAGAGTAAATTCAAGAAGGTCGAAAGAAATAGTAACACTTTTGTCAATATTAGGGTTGCTGTTGTAAATAAGATCAGTTAAAAACTCAGATCATTGTCCAGCCATAATACAGATAATGTAATAGAAGGATGCTTTAAGTGCAGGTTGCATAGCAGTAGCTGACTTGATTTCCTTGCCAGGATAAAAATCATAGAGAAATTTTTTAAGAAAGGTGAAAAGCTGAAGAGAGAATGAGGTTTGCAACTTTTTGTTAGGTTGCATTTCTTCAGTAATGGGAAAATTTGCAACTCAATCATATGTAGGATTAGATTTAGGTTTAAGAACACTAGAATATGATTGAGAGAAAGGTTTGTTAGAAGTATTTTCAGGTTGGTTAGTGTTACTAGGCTTATTAAGGTTATAATTGGAAGTGTCAAGAGTGTTAGTAACAGGCAGTTGGTTAGGTTAATGTTAGTGTTAGTAGTTGCAGAAAAGAAAAAATCAATAAGATCAGATGAAGTTGAGGTTTGGTGAGAAAGAGCTGTAAGAGGATTGATAGTTTGAGAAGATTTATATAAGATGTTTTGGAAGGTTTGTGTGAGATTTTTCTTGATTTTGAATGAACTAGCTTCATGTTAAGATGAGGCAGTTATGCAAGTGAGATGATAGATTTCATTATTTTTAGAGATATATTTTTCGGTAAGATAATGACACTCATTTCTTTTGGTACAACTAATTGGAAGAGAGCATTTAGGGCAAGTATGGTAATATACATCAGATATAGGAGATGGAGAAACACTGTCATAAGTTCTTGAGTTGTTTTGTTAATTTTTTTTGAATTGCTATTGATATGAGCAGTTATAAATTTAGTAGCTTGAGTATAATTGGTATTTGAGGTTGAGATAAATTTGGTATGGTATTTGACACAGAGACAGGTAATTAAAGAGATAAAAGTAGGAGCTTTAAAGAAATAAGTAATTTTATTTGATCGAAGATTTTTTGTTAAACAGGAAGTGGGTTGAATTTTGGAAGGAATTGGGTAAGTCTTATTATTGTTATTCTCTTCATAGAAGGCAATTCCAAAACTGCTAAAAAAGTTTTAGTAAAAATAATCAAGGTCTGCTGTATCTGGTTCTTGTTGACTTAAAGTAGACATTGTTAAAAGATAATAAGCTAAGTAAAGATTGTAGACTTAAGTATGTTTTTTAAAGAAAGAGTATAGTTGTAAATAATTAAATTTACAAGAGTTGTAAATAGATACAAGGGTTGTAGTTTAGGGGTGTTACTAGAATGACACAAAAGTGTAACAAGAGTGGATAGGGTCACTAATGTGACTCAAATACTGAACACAAGTAGGATTTGCAGTACAAATTACTGTGTAATATTACTAAGAACTAAATATAGAAGAAGTACTTGATTGTATGAATGAGTTTCTATTAATAGAATGATTACAAAATGTTAGTGTAAATTAATAAGATATGAATTAGGAATTGATGATATGATTACACGAAAACTGTATAAGGGGAAAAGGGAACAGGGTAAAGACAAAAAGTAAAAAAAGAAGTTTTGCAAAAGAGTAAATATTGAATTTAGTTCTAGTTTGGTCAATATTGGGTCAAAAATCTTCATTTAGAGCTTGTTTTGACTGAGTAAATATATACTACAACTTTAATTAACAGTATAGAACAGGTTAAGGCAGTAAAAACTGCAGGATAGCTAAAAGTTATCAACTGGAGGCCAAAGGCTGTCAGTATAATTTTCTTAATGAGTTTGAAGTATAAAGACTTAATATTTGCAAACTATATGTAAAATGATGTGCTAAACAGTTTACTTAGAAGCCCAAAATAGGTTTTCTTAGTAAAATAAAAGGTTATAAGTGTTTTTTAAAGGATGAATTTTTTAGTTAATTTTTGTGTAATGGATTTGCAGAAAGAGTTACAAGTTTTTTTTTGAATTAATACCTTGTCATTATATATATATTACTAATTCATGCATTAAATTATTCTAAATCTGTCATTATAGTCATGATTACAGAATATATTGTATGTCTGTAATTCAATCAAAGTATTTTAAATATATTGAATAAAGATTTTTATAATATGAATATAAAATAAATTACATTTTTTTTGGCTAGATATAAGCAGAAGTTTTTATAAAATATAAATAAAATATGATCTACAAAGACAATTAAGTGTGACAATACCTTTTAAAAAATGCTTACTTATACCCAATTTGTAAAAATATATGACTATAAATTTATTGTTATAATAAACTATGTATACTTATATTTTGTAAAAATTTTATACAATAATTAATAATTTTTTTTGTTTTATTTTTATTTTAAGACTATACTAAATTTAGTAATTTGTACTAAATTTAATATACCTTATAGATACTGATTAATAAATATTATCTCTTAAACTGTATTCTAGACAAATATGGCTAGAAAATTAAATTGTATTTAGTATTTTTTAAATAAAATAATAATTTATTAATGATATAAAGTATACTTTGCTTATAAAATATATTCTTAAAAACATATTTTATAAACTTTATTATAAAATATTTTTTAAAATATTAATAAACTTTTATATATTAAAATTTTAAAGATTATATTTAAAATTTTTATTATTAAAAATTTTTCAAGATTTTTTAAAATTTTATATATTTTTGAAACTAAAAAAAATTTTTACACTTTTACAAGTCTAAATTTTTATAAATCTATACTATATTATAAAAATATTCCTGTGTAATGATAATGCTTGCATAAACCAATCATCATATACTATTTTGATTCTTGATCAGTCCGATTCTACACGTAAACAATTCCTATGCAATGATAATGCTTGCATAAACCAATCACCAGGAACTATTTCGATTTCGGATCATTCCGATTCTATGCGTACACAATCAAAATAGTTAAATTCCTATGTAATGATAACTCTTGCATATGTATAAACCAATTACCAGATACTATTTAAATTTTGAATTTGTCTAATTCTATTATTTATTCATATAAAAATTTAAAAAATATTAAATATCGCTACTTAATTGTCAAATATTTGAAAACTTACCAAGTATAGAAGTTATAAGTAAATTTAGAACCTAGATATGCAAACATATAGTACAGTAACAAGAATACAAGACTAACCCGCTACAACGGTATTAAATATGCTCTTATTATACCTTTATTGTATACCATGTTTCACTATAGAGTTCGATTCATGCCAGATATATTTCAATTTTTTTGAGTAAACATTTGTAAGAGACCTGGGAATTCTTATTTGACAAGTACCTTCAGTTTACAAAACATCTGCATTATAAGTTGATTCCTGTCAAAATTATAAATCTATCTATACTATATTATAAAAATAATCTTTTAAAAAATTATATTTAATCGATTAAAATAAATTTAAATCTGAAAAAAGCCTTCCTAAATACTACAAACACTAATTTTACCTATCTAAATACAATTTTTTCATTCATACTATTTACGACATACTGTTCCCAATGAAATCGTCAATACTTCCTGTTCTTGATGGGATTAAAAAAAAATTTTTTTGCTGTTTTTCTGTTAGGATATGCAAAGTCGATTTTTTGTTATAGACCAGAGTAAAATTATACATGACTATGTAATATATCAAGCACTAATACAAACAAAAATTCTGACTAATAAAATAATATCGATAAGCAATAAATTAATTATTTTATTTATTCAATAAATGTAAAACCAGAAAGTATTGTTTTCTAAGTATTTGAAACATTCTATTACCTTTTAAAATGAGTATAATCCTCCAGTTTATGCAATGGTACAAAATTTTTATTAATATTACCAAGCCATTTTTACTATTTGAATTCATTATGTTTTGTTGCTGCATCCTAGATTCAGAATTATAAAAACCTTTTACTCAAATAAAATAATTAGCATTATAATCTTCCAGAAGAGCATTAAAATAAATCTACAAGAATTTCTCATGCAATTGAATTTTCTTGATCAGTTTTTATAATTTTATTTTAATTTTTATTTTTTTTTGTTTATATTATTAGTAGAAATTTAGTTACAGCAATCAACGTATATTTTTAGAATAGTGTGTTTATTGGATTTTATGTTTTTTAACAATTGCTTTTCACTTTGAAGTATCGAAGAAAAAAATTACTACAATTATGTTAATGTTAATCTTTTGAAGATCCTAATAAGTAGTATCAGTATAACTATATGATTAAATTCATGATAATCTTCTAAAGCAAATTAAATTAAATATATTTAAAGCCAGCTAGAGAAATGCGAAACATATAAATATATGATTGAAATCATGATAATCTTTAGAAAGCAAAGATATCTAAAATATAATCGTATAATAGTAAGCAAAAAGAGAATTATAGTTGCATAATAGTAGGTGGGTAATAATAAATGTATTCAAAACCAATCAGAAAAATGTGAAGAACATAACTATATGTTAAAATCAAGATAATCATTAGAAAGCAAAGATATCTAAAATGAAAATGTGTTTTTTATTTTAAATAAAATTCAAAAATTAACTTAAATAAAATTCAAAATTTGACCTTATCATTAATTCAATTAGAAAAATCGACATATTTTCTCAATTAAAATTCTTTTGATTTTTTTACATAATTATAATTCATCTGTGTACTTGCTAATTTAAATCATACGTATAATCAAAATTATACATAAACCTTCGCTATTCGTACAATTATATACTCATATGTTTATTAATCAGACTTAAATAATGCAAGTATCCTCACCATCTGAAACAGCTGATAAGTTAGAAGAACATAGAAAAGAACTCAATAGACAAAGGCAAATATGGTATAGGAACAAAAGAAAAGCAAGTAATACTAATACTGTATCAGAAGAATTGCAACATTTACTTGCCTCAGAAGTGCCAATTGTTGTTATTGATTCTGTTGCAAGTTCCTTAACTTCTGAATTAACTAACATCCAAACTGATCAAAGGTGACAACATAGTAGATTAATATGTCATGATATAGGAAGAATGAACCAAATTTGTGCTAATTGTAGTGCAAAATTTTGGATGGCTGAAAAAGATCACAATAGCAACAGAACTTCTCCAAAATTTGCACTCTGCTATACCCATGGCAAAGTGCAATTACCACCTTTAACTGAACTGCCAGCATATTTACTGCATCTATATACTTCAAATGAATCCCTTCCAAATCAATTTCACAATAACATTAGAGGTTATAACAATGCTTTAGCATACACATCATTTGGTGCCAATATAGATAATCAATTTCAAGGACAAGGCGTGTCTAATTTTTGGATTCATGGCCAAGTCTACCATCGTATTGGACCTTACTACCAAGCGAAGCCCACATATCATCATTTGCTCAACTATACATCTATGATACAGCACATGAAATTAAAAACTATCATAACAGAATGCAAAGGTTAAATGAAGTTATTTTACAAAATCTACAAACCATGCTAGATAGATGTAATCCTTATATACAAAATTTTCGTCAGGTAAGAAACCTTATCAAAGAAAATAAAACTACTGAAATTTCGATGATGATCTATAGTAATAGAACTTGAGATTTCTGTTATTATAATGCTCCCACAGCTTCCGAAATAGCTGTAATTATGGTTGGTGATGGTTATGATGTAAATCTGACAAATCGAGACATTCTTCTTAGATTATATGACAGAGGTCTGCAAAAAATATCAGAATGTCATCTATTATACAATCTGCTTCATTATGTATTATTATTTCTAAAAGGTGATGATGGCTGGCATGTAGACATACCACTTACAGGAAATATAAGACAAAAAAGAGTAACAATGATGCAATTTTACTCATATAGGCTACAAGTTAAAGATGGAAATTGGCTACAGTATGCAGATCGTCTATTTCAGCAGTATATTGTTAACCAATATGCTAAAATAGAGCAGAATCGTTTAAACTACCTTAAGCAGAACTAATCATCACTTCAAGCTGATCTATATCAAGGCATTATGAATGCAATAAATACTGGAGATAACAGTAATTATGTCGGTCATTATATCTTTCTTCCATCATCATTTACAGATGAACCATGTCAAATGTATCAATTGTATCAGGATGCAATAGCCAATATAAGCACTTTGGCAAATCAGACTTTTTTGTAACTTTTACATGTAACCCGAAATGGCCAGAAGTTACTAGAGAATTATTACCTAATCAGAACGCTGCTGATAGACCAGATTTAACAGCCCACGTATTTCACATAAAACTACAAGAACTATTAAAAGACTTAAATAGCAACCATTGGCTTGATAAAGTTATTGCATATATATATGTAATAGAATTTCAAAAACATGATCTACCTTATGCGCACTTTCTACTAATACTTGCACCAGAAGACAAGTTCTGATCCACTGATGATTATGACTCCATAGTCTCTGCAGAATTTCCTAATCATGTTTTATATTCACTTGCTTATGAGACAGTAACAAGCCTGATGGTGCATTGTCCATATGGTGTATTAAATCTAGCCATGCCATGTATAGAAGATGGTGTGTGTCAAAAACATTATCTGAAAGATTTTTAGGAACGCACAGTAGAAAGCAATAATGGATATCCTATTTACTACAGGTGTCTTGGCCATTCTGTTAAAATTAGAAGGAATCTTTTAGACAACAGATGGGTTGTGCCACATAATATTGAATTAGTTACAAAATACAATGCCCATATTAATGTCAAAATTTGCAGTTTGATATTAGTGGTTAAATACTTATATAAATATGTTTATAAGAGTCATGACTGAGCTACTAGCACTCTTTCTCATTCTAGTAATAACAATAGTCTGCAAACATCTGCTGAAGCTGAAGCTGAACCAATTGACAAAATAAAAATGTACTTAGACGCAAGGTATATTTCAGTTTCTGAAAGTATTTATAGAATTTTTCATTATAAGATGCATAGTCGAACTCTATTGGTACAGAGACTGACAGTCCATCTTCCAGATTATCAATATATTACTTTTCAAGATGGAAAGAACCTTCAACATGTTTTAAATCGTGCTAACATGCATATGACTATTCTGACAGCTTGGTTTCAAGAGAATGTAGAAAACATTGCAGCACGTATATATACTTATATTGATTTTTCTGTTTATTATACCTGGAATGCATTCTGCCATAAGTGGAAACCTAGAAAAAATGCAACAATTATGATTGGAAGGCTTTACATGGTACAAACTTCAGAAGAGAAAAGGTATTATCTTCGAACCTTACTTATCTGTGTTAGAGGTGCAACTAGCTTTGATGATCTGAAAACTGTTAACGAACATGTATGTAGAAGTTTCAAAGAAGTTTGCATTCGTCTTGGTCTTCTTCAAGATGATGCTGAATGGAATGCATGTTTGTTTGAAGCAAGTGCTATACAAACAGAACAACAATTGAGACACCTTTTTGCAATGATACTTCTTTTTTGCCAACCAATAGAGCCTAAAATATTGTAGAATAACCATAAAACAGCTTTATGTGAAGATATTATATATAGAAATCATAAATTATTGCCAAATCAAAATGAGAACATACCCGCTACTGATGAATAGGAAGCACTTAGACATTTGGAAGATTACCTTTTGCTAAATGGAAAATTGCTAAAAGATTTTCTGAATATGCCAATCCCTCCTAACAATATGTCAAATATAGGTAATAGTGAAAGGTTAGAGCAATTAATTCATGAGAAAGGTTATATAATATCATACAACTAGAAGATGAACTACATTAAAATATTCATTTGCTAAATGAAGATCAACGCACAATATTTGACGCTATTACACAAGCCATTGAAGATAAAGGCAGCTGTTTCTTTGTAGATAGACCAGATGGTACTGAAAAGACATTTTTGTACAATATCTTGCTGACAAGTATCAGATTGAAGGGTAAAATTGCTTTAGCAATAGCTTCTTCAGAAATTGTCACACTATTAATAAGTGGTGGTCAGACAGCCCACAGTTGTTTTAAAATTCCAATTAAACTTAATGAATCTTCAACATGCTACATTTCTTAGAATAGCGATGAAGCCCATCTAATTAACATGACAAAACTTTTCATTTGGGATGAAGTTCCAATAGTTCATAAATTTGGATTTGAAGCACTTGACTGGACATTTTGTGATATAACTCAAATAAACAAACCATTTAGAGGAAAAGTTTTTGTTTTTGGGAGTGATTTTCATCAAGTATTGCCTGTCATACAACATGCATCTCACGCTGATACTGTTTCAGCTAGCTTATCTTAATCCTATTTGTGGAGACAAATTAGAAGAATGAAGTTAACAATTAATATGAGACTTTGCCAAACTAATGATGCAGACAAGAATTTAAAACAGAAAAACTTTGCAGAGTTTCTTTTACAAATAGAAGATGGCAAATATCCAATTATTTCAGGTATGGAAAACATGATAGAACTCCCTTCTGATTTAATAATGATGGGAGGAAAATTATTAGACCTTATCGACTTCATCAATCCAAACTTCGCTGAAAATTCAGAAAATAAAGATTATTTCACAGGTAGAGCTATTTTAACACCAACAAATAATGATATTGATAAGATCTCTGACATAATGATAAATCAGTCTTCTGGCGAAGTTAAAGTGTACCCCAGTGCTAACTCTGTAAATTTAACTAATAACAGAAATGTAGAACAATCTCAGTTATACCCTCCTAAATTTTTAAGATCTTTAAATATTTTCGGTATTCCTCTTGGTGAATTGAAATTAAAAATTGGAATTTCAGTTATGCTTTTATGAAACCTAAACCTAGCAGAGGGTCTCTGCAATGGGACCCGCTTAATTTGTCGTGAACTTCATAACAAAGTAATAGATGCAGAAATCATTATAAGATCACATATTAATAAATGAGTTTTTATACCTCGAATAACATTAATACCTTCTGATACCAAATTACCATTTACTTTAAAATGATGCCAGTTTCCTGTGTGAGCTGCATTTTTTATGACTATCAACAAGGTGCAAGGTCAAACATTAAATCAAGTAGGCATTCACTTACTACAACCTGTTTTTTCACATGGTCAACTATATGTTGCTTTGTCGAGAGTCACTTCTTATCAGTCCATCAAGGTCCTTATACCTGATAACACAAATACTAACAAAGAATGTCAAACAAATAATATTGTATATTATGAAATTTTTTCAAATATAATCTAATAAAAATCGTTAATATCATAAAAATTGAATTTCTAACAAAATACACTTATCGAGAAATATTTAATATAAAAAAAATATTTTATAATAAATTATTTAATACTATAATCTAAACTTACCATGTTCCTCATAAATAATAAATTTCTATATTTATTTCATAATATCGGAACAATATTTCTACACTATTGACGGTTTACAAGAAGACATGAAAATAAGAATCCATAATAAGGTCATACAAAATTAATTAATCAGTTTTCATAACCCAGACAGGTCAAAATTTACAAAACTCTAAAAAAAAATTTCAAAATATACTTATTATCTGGATGAGTTTTTTTTACAAAATTTATAAAATTTTTATGTTTTTTATATATAAAATTTTTTTGAAAATAAAATTAAAAGCTGGGTTGCCGGGATGCTAGGTCACTTTTGAAAATTTATAATACGAAAACCGATTTATTAAGTTTCTATGGCCTAATCTTTAAGGTTATTAAATATTTCAATAAGGCATTCATTTTTGAAACCTACTTCATAAAAAAAAAGAACCAATCTATAAAACAAAAACTATACACTTTTTTTATAAAGTTAGACTGTAAAAATACAATAATAAAATCTTATAGATATCAGATGAACCTCACACAACATTACTACTGTATTCTGCTCAATAATTTCTTAAATATCGTATATTATTAAAGTTTCTATTTGATCTTTAGACTGCTCAAAAATTAAGAAAGATTTGCTAAACCGTCATTATATTGTTATGCAGTCTGTGACTTTTATCTTTTTATAGATCAATGTCAATAAAATTCTTTTAACTTGATTGGTCCTAACCCTTTCTATAATACTTAGAAGCATCGATTTTTTAATAACAAAGAGTCATATTACGAATATATATTTAAATAGCATTAAATTCATTAGTACTATGTAATGTTAATATAATATTTTTAAAATATTAACGGTGAGGCCATGCCTTTAACTTTATTGAAATTCAATTGAAGTTTTTACAAAGAAAAGCTTG